AGTGACATGGGTAAATGGGATTAGCCTCCATCCAAGCCCACGTGTGACACCAGCTGCCATCAGAATCAGACCCACATCTGTGTTGCCCTTTAAAAGCTCCAGCTCTTGGCAACTTTCCAATTTATCATCAATTTACCAAAAAAACAATGATCCCAGTTTTATGATTCAGCAGGAACAGCATCGCTGGGTCGAGCTCCTGGAAGTCTGGAGGCCAGCAGGTTTTTTAATTCTTACTCTGAAGGAATTTCCTTTTTTAATGTTGCTGTGCTCTTGCCCAAGCCCCAGGAAGTCGACTATCTATGGACAGCAGTGACCAAAATTTGGTTTTCCTGGAATTTTCCCTCCTTCCCTCCGCACACCCACACAATGGGCTTTTTAGGATGCCTGCAGTCTGTAATTTGCCTTTCCAGCCTGATAATGTGGCTTGCAGAGGCACCGCTTTCGCCAAGTCATCATCTGGAAGGAACACTGGCTTGTGCAATGTTCACTTTGCCCCCGGTGTCCGACGGGCCCCGGCAGCCACCGAGCCCAGTTCCTGCCCCTCGGGCAGACACTGGGAACAGGAGGGAGCCCAGGGAGTCTGGGAAAGGGCCCGAAACTCTCAATTTCAGAAGACGCAGCCCAGAAACCAGAAGGACCAAGAACCCAGTGCTGTGGTTTCCCTTTGCCTGACTAAAGAAAAGAGCTGCTATTTTTACTAAAAATGTGGGACGTGAGGCCCTTCCCTTCCCCTGCTCGAAGGGGGGACGCTGCTCACAAGGAGAGGGTGGGGGGGTCACCCCGGATTAAAACCAGCTGACTGATCCACACAACTCTCTCCCATAGATTCCTCAAATATTTCTTGCCCACACCATGGGAAGATTTATTTGTAAGGTGAGAGGAAGTTAGTCGGGAAAAGGGAATCTGATCTCACCTACAAAAATCCCCCTTTTTCATTTTAAGGCAGTGGGATTGATGTAATTCTCTGCCCCTTTCTCTTCTCTAGTCCTGCATCACCGTGGGCTTCTCGGGGCCTTCAGCAACACAAATCAATGCCACGACATCATTAAAAGTTTGCAGTGTATCACAGGAATTGCAGTAAATTAAAGCCACCTGCCCAGGGGAGGAATGGGATTCCAGGGTGTGATTCCAGGGTGTGTGACCTCTGTGTTCACTGTCATGAGGAGGATTCTGAACCTCTAAACCTCTGATCAAAAAGATGCTTTTCATTTTCAACAACCAAAACAATCCTGAGCAGGGAGAACAAAGACTTGGGTCTTGTCTTACTTAGAGGCTTATTAACTCTGTGTGTTTGTTCATCATTAAAAGGCTCTTCAGATGACAAGAGAATACTAAATGTGTCAAAATGGCACATGTAGAAGTGACTTCAGGGGTGGGGGAGTAGCTGTTGTGGCACATCCCTCCTTTGGTTCTTTGTTCCTTCGCCTAAAAATACATGTGAGTGTATTTACAGAGGAACATTCCAGCAGGGCTGGTCAGAGGTGTCCAGCTGAGTCCCCTTTGTGTGGCCCTGCATCCTTTTGGGATGCAGGATTTTGGATACGACTTCCATTGCTCTGTTCCCTTCAGAACGGAGTTTTGTGTGGAGTGGGTCCTCCCCAGGAGTGCAGATGGGGGGCATTGCTGTGAGATGAATTTGGGTTTGTCTCCATCCACTCCCCTGTGGCCCGATGTCATCCTGCCAGTACTGCCCTGGGCAGTGATTCCAGGAGTTCGAGGCAGACCGGGCTGATCTCATCTACCAAGAGATGAGGGTGCTCTGGAAGGCATTTCCCACCTCTCCCATTTGTGATTAGAATCGTTTGGTCCCACCCGGTCACCCCTTGGGGCACAGGGGCCTCCAACTGGCATTGGAAACTCAGTAGAAATGGACCTTCTGAGCCAATCCTCTCAACTCAGGGGGGAGCTTTTAATGTGCAAGTTTGAAGGCAGTTCACCCCCCTGCCAGTTAGACTGTTGTGCATTTTATACTGTTTTCTGGCACTTCTCGGTAGCCAAGTCAAGACATTGCAGCTTCTGTAGCCAGAGACAAACATCAGAGAGCAGTGGGGCCAGTTACAGCTTTCCAGACCAGTCTGCAGCTTCCCAGACCAGTAAGCAATTCCAGTGGATCAAGGAGAAGCAGCCTCAGGTATCAGAGGCTGGGGAAGTCACCGTGCAAAATTAACCGAAAGACTTTGAAATTCCTTTGAAATTCCTACAGTAAGCAGCCAGACAGTGAACTTCTGAAAGGTGTTCCCAAACAATTGCTAATTATTCGGAAGAACCAGCCAGGGCTGACAAAGCCTTATCTCTGCAGCCCCCGCCGGTCCTCCAGGAGCTGCGGGTCGCGCCCCGCGCGGGGCACGCGGGACACGGACTCCACGCACAGCAGCTCCATGGGCGGCGGGGAGGCCGGGACGGAGGCGGCAGGGGCGGACGGACACGGGGACGGAGGGGCAGGAAGAAGGACAGACGAGGGGCAGGCGGGGGGGAGGAAGGACAGAAGGACGGACGGACGGACGGACGGA